TTCTGGCTGTTGTGTCTCTTTGAGACATTGCTTTCATCCTGAAACATCCATGCAATCCTGTCCTCTTTCTTCCTTTCTGCAGGTTTAGAGCCCTGTCCTGCAGCCTCACGTGTATAAGTTTTAGTGACAGTGCATCCTCCTGCATGGAGGGAGGCAGTACGCAGCTGCAGGATCTGACCTGTAAAGCTGCCATCACAGTTCTGAAGAGTTCTGTCATCTTCTGAGGAAGCAGGGCTGGATAACAAAGTGTGGTCCAGAAGCTCACGTTCTGGAATAGGGTTCGGTTTTAGCAAACAGATTCTTGGCAATATTAACAAGATAGGAGTGCAGAGACAAACACTTACAACCCCAACGGTACTGGAAGTGGTGTTCTGCTGTGAAAAGTGACTTGGTAAAAATGTCAGTCTCAAGCTGTGGGATTACTGGCTCTCACCGAGTCCAGACCAAATGTGCTCAGTTTACAGTATTTGTTTCTTCGCCACCGGCGATAAAAAGGGGTTATGCTATAGGTTGGTTGCCCTACAGCCCCTGTAGTTGTTCCCCCAGGTAGGTGTTGTAGGCAAGCTTGGCAGTGTTTTACCTCTGCTTTATATTTACACTAGCTGGGTTGCAACTGGATGCAAATTAAGGTCAAAATAAGTTCCTTCCTTCTGATAAATGTACAACTATTTGAATCAGATCATCTAGTCTGCCCTTCTTGATAACACAAACCATAGAATTTCAATTAGCACCTTCTTGTGTGTAGTTCATAACTTGGAGAGAAGACAGGCTCTGCTAGCTAGATGAACCTCCCACAGCTTTATCCTTTCATTCCTTTTAATGGTTTTGCAGAGATCTAATAATCCAGAACAGGGACTCTGATTCACACACGCTGACGATTTGCCTTGCAGCCGACCGTTGTAGTTCCTTCTCCCAGAAGTTGTTCCCTCCCACCTCTCCACCCTCCTGCAAAGGCAGCTCGACTATTCATCAAGCAGAATCTGAATGGCTGCAGCCTGGAGCTCAATGGATCAGGGTGGACAAACACAGATTTCAATTGTCCTTCATACCCTGGGTCTGGTTTGGAGCAGTGCAGTAGCTGTGATGTGAGAGCTGAGCCATCCTTAAGGCAGAGGCAAATCCCTTTTGCTGCCTTATTGTAGATCAATCCCACTCATCCACCAGAGCCTTCAGTAGATGATTCTTGCGGGTGACTGGAGCTATCTGAATGGTGGTGCAATAACGTTGTAAACCATCTTTCCATCCTGAAGGTACCTGTTTGATATTCAGCAGAAGTTTGTTCTGTACCACTGGTGTCTTTTGCAGCAGGTTCAGTGTTTAAACAACCAAAATGATAGGTAAGAAGTTCACTATTAAAGCCAAATACCTTAATTGCTGGTGTCTTTCTGCCCATGTTCCTATATGTCACTGTACTTGAGTTAGGCTACAGTGACAAGCTATTCTGTACTCTCTAACCCTACACAAACTAATGTTGATGTCTCTAGTCCTCATCCCCCCCCTTATTAAAGTTTGGGATTTTGGTACCTTCTGACATATTTAAATTACAAAGAGTGCTAAGCCAGCACAGGCAATTTCTTGTTATCGTGGGTAAATGATTGCATCAGTCAGTGTTGACTCCCAAGGAATTTGTAGAAATTTATTTCCAAAGAGCAGCTGAGTTATCAGCCCACAAAGAACTGATCGATAGCAATTGGTTTCAGCTATTACAGTGCTTTTAATTTGGCACACTGTCCTTTTGTCATGCAACATCACAGGGTTTCTTCTGGCTTGAGGAACCTGAAGAAAGGGAATATTGACTTTTCAGCGATTAAAATCTCAGAAGCTTTACCTTCAGTTTGTCTATAGCATGTCTGTACAGACAGGACAAGCTATCAAAGTTAAAGATTATTAAGGCAATACGGTGCAGGGAAATATCAGTGCAGAGATTTAGCCACGTATGTCTGGTTGTATTAATGGGAATCCTACTGATAAATCCCTATGCACCCTGCTAAATAATTTGCCTAATGATTTTGGTTAAGCACGGAGAGCAAGCACCATCTGAAACTGTTTGTTTGATGCACTATGCTTGATGCATGGGAGCCAGAGAGAAAACACAGTACTGCAGCACGAATACCTTGGTTCCCAGTACTGTAAATGAGGGGAGGAGACTGGTGTTAAGACAAAGATGTCCTGGGACATTGGTGCTCACTGTAATGGATCCAAAGCCCATACCTTGAATCCAACTTTTGTCCTGCTGGTAGGAATGCACTTTTCTTACCCTGCATCCCAAGAGTCCAGCTGAGCAACTCTTGACTGGGTTGGGCTCCTGGCTTTTAAAATGGCCCTCAACTGCAGGGTCTAGGTAATCTTTAATTCACAAAGAATTTGGCATTGGATTCAATTTGGACACAAACCACTACTTCTATAGTGATTTTTTTTTTTTTTTCCCTTGTGTCTTCCCTGTAAGTGAGATTTCAGCTTTGGTGCATGCTGTTTTGGTATTTCCCATTTGCCTTTGGCAATAATTTTTAAAGGGAAGGTCTGATCAGTTGTCCTCCCTTGTGGTACAGTTCCATTCATGTAATGATAGGTTATAGACAACATGATATGGACAGTCTGTCAGGAACTATCTGCTATTTCAGATAACAGAGTCCTTTCATAACTACATATAACAACACAGTGAATAAAAACAAAAAAGGCCTAACAGAAGTTCTCACCTTCCCCAAATTCAACTCTGATCTTCCTATCCTTCAAGTATGTGGCAGACCCAGCCTCAACGGCAAAGTTAGAGCAGGCAGTGGGAACGTACAAATGATGCATCTCTTAAGTCCAGTGGAGTGCTACATATCCTCCTACCACATTTAGGAAAGATTCACTGTCTGTTCAATAGTGTGGTATTATCAGCATTATGACTTGGACACCAGCAAAGCTCCTACGCAGCCCTGGCTGAAGGCTGACTGATGTGCACCTTCCTATGCATATCATGTGTTTGGACTGTACTGAGTAACGCTGTGTATGTTCACGTTCTCCTGAGCCAAAGGGAGCTGGGCTTTGCAAGTCACTGGACTGCTTAGGATGTTTTCTAGAGAAACTCATGTGCTGCTAGGAACGAAACTTTTCACTGCCCAAGTCATAACTTTGTCCCTGAATTCAGTTGGAAATATTGTGCCAAGCATGATGACAGGGAGCCTAATACTGGTGGAAGTACCATCACTCACAAGTGATGAAATGACCCCAAAATACTCTGGGGCATATTTTTACAAGCAGCAGCATATCAGCTCTTACGTCCTCATCAAATTCCAAATCAAGCAATTAGCTTGCAATTTCAAACAGCAATATTATTGTTTGCTTCATTGCCTACTGCACTTGCTAGCGCTGTTTGTGCAAGGACGGTCACTATTTCTCCAGCTTAGCAGCAGTTATGGTTTAGCAGTGAGCAAAAAGAGCCATTATCAGCCTCCACAGCACCTTGGTTCTCTTCAGGATGAATGGTGCAATATAAATGTAGAGGATTATTCAAAAACCCATTGCAAAAACTTCTAGCATATTAGCCATAATAATAGTCTGGCTGTTTTATTTGGCAGTAATCCAATCCCTCTGTCAAGATACAGTACCTGGCGCATGTGCTCCCAGACCAACCGATGGGCTCATAAAGTAGCCGGATGGCAAAATTACCAGGAAAAACAATGATGTGTTTTTATGTTGCCGCAAGTTATGGATGCGTAATAAAAGGGGGACATGAAGTTCTTGAGCCAACAAACATAAAGGTGAGGGTTTTATGGCAGTTGTAAGTTCTGAAGTGTGCATTTCATACCGGATGATCTTTAGCTGCTCACCCTGATCTTTGCATACTGGAATAATGACAATAAATATGAACTAGATAATTTAGGAATTGGGAAGTGTAGCAAGGCAATGTTTTCCTTGAGATAACTGAGCAAAGGAAGATGATGCAAAACGCTTCCGATCAGAAGTACAAATGTGAGGGCCTCCATAGGGGCACAAATGGGACATTGGCCTGAATTCACTCCGCATGTAGTTTATTTGAAATCTGAGGGGCTATCAAGAGAAAAGTTCACTTCTTATATTTCAACAACATAGCCACAATAATACAATTATAACAGATGTAGTTTCTATGAGATTTAGTTTCCAGTCTAGTGCTTATTTAACAGATCTGCAGCCATTCCACAAAAGATGCCTCCAAGGAGGAATGGAGGCATGGCACAGCGCAGGCATTGACAAAAGCAGATATATATTAATTGGCACCTCTAAATAATATATAAATGTTGGTAATATGCATCAGTATTAACCAAATAATTTCCTGAACAAACAATGTCCAGGGATCTATGCCACTGATTGAATTTTAAAACTTTATTTTTCAATCAAACATTTGGTTAAGCATGAAAAAAAACTCCCTGGAAGGGTTTATTGAATAGCACTCTCGTGCTGTCAGTGATTGCTAACGAGTCTGGGTGTCGGTACGCTGTGTGCGCTCGAGGCTGGCAGAACTTGTACAAACAGGGGGTTTATACTGGGCTCCAAACTCAGTTCAGTTCTGGCGCAGAGAATCTTAGACTTAAGTAAATGGATTTTTAGAAGCATCTCCACAAAGGTATTGTGAATTCTTCACCCCCTCTGTTGCTGGTTCAGAGTAAGCATGGGAGAGGGGCTGGGTGCTCCTCCGTTGTCTTGCCGGCTACGTGGATGGTCCGTGGGCTTGCCAGCTGAGGAAATCTGAACTCCCAAACCTTCCTCAGTTCCTGATCGTTTGTTCCCAAAGGAAAGCCTGGAGGGAAGCAGATCAGTAACTGATCCCGATATCTACATACAGCTCAACTGATTAAGAGATGCATTAGGCATAGACCAAATTAGCTAAGCCTTAGAGCACCTCTGTCCTGCAGATGTTTCTTATCTTTTCTCTTCCTACAGTGGGGCTCAGTCATTCACCTTCTGTGAACTATGGAGTTTCTTCCTTCACAGTGTCACCAAGGAATAAAGTATTGCTCAACATGAGTAAATGTGACAGCAGCCGGGTCTATAGTTAAGTCTAATCTACTCTGAAGTGAGAATCGAAGTAGGCTTAACCCTGCTGGATGAGTCAGTGGCAGAATCGGGTTGAAAACAAGAATCCCTTATTACCAGCTCTGCGATATAAACACATACCTTCCCTCGTTGTCTTCCCAACCGTTCATTAACACAGCGGTAGCAGTTAGATTCAGTTTGGTTTTTTTTTTTTTCCTCAGGGTCAACTTTCACCTATTTTTGAGTTAGACAGGAATCCTTCCTCCCCTCGCCTTGATCTTCATCAGCTTTCTCTGCTCCCATAAAACACCAGGAATGTCAAACTCCTCATGTTTGCCAACATGAAACAAAAGTTGTTGACAAATACAAAGTGTTTTGTGTTAGGGATGGGGCAACCAAGCAATCACTTGGGTACAGCTCCTACAGTTGCATTTCATTCTTCGTGGGACACTGCAGCCCCATGTGAACATTTAAAAGCTGTGAGTCAGGCCTCCAAGAAAAGTCATGCATGATGTAAAATCACAAGGATGATCAAAACCAATAAAATGCATATTTTCAATTTGCCTTTGGGTTTTCTAAGGTTGTGAGGCACACCCAGTTCAGGTCTCCAAGCTCTTCTTTGCAACCATTAAGGCTAGAAACTGAGGGCATTCATTTTTCATGAGCTACACATAATTTCTTGTATTTAGAAAAACAAGAAATATTGTAAGACCTAATGGTCTGAACTGGCAACACTGGTGAATGTACTTAGTGAAACTGAGTGATTTTTTTTTTTTTCCTTTTACATCTAGAATGAGGGTTTTTTTTCACATCACACCAATGACTTAGTGTTTGGATATGTCAAACTACTTGAGAAAGTATAGACTGCTTTTGCTTGAGACTATTTAAAAATTTGTATCAATGGGTTGGAGTTGGATGGAAGTCACAGCAGGGGGGACTGTCCCCTGAGCCTGCACTTCCAGCCTATGACTGACTGTGCCACCAATTTGGCTTGGACTTGGCATATTCATTTCATCTCTTCACCTTCATACTGCTTGGTACAGTTAGGCTGAATATCATTCTGAATTTTCTTCTTCCAAGCCTCCTCTCCTTTTTTCTTTTCTCAATGTAAATTTTAAGCGTTACAGCAAGAAGCTCCAATGGCTGGACTTGGCATACCCTATCACCCAGACCTTCAGACTAAACGCCTAGCTGGTAGCCGCATCCCTCGGATAAATGGGATTCTGCAAAATGACAGTGCAGCTTGGCTGGGTAAGGGACAGGCCCCATCCCAGAGTAAGTAATGAATTCCCTCAGGAGCTCACGGCCATCACAAACGTCACCACCTTCTGCTTCCTGTGCTGGATGCAGTTCCTAGAGCTTGTGTTCTTGGATACAAATAGAGTGCTAATAGTACCTGCCAAGACATGCAGTCCTTCCCTTGAAAAAAAAGGACGAGAAAACAAACTACATATGATGGATGTTAGTCATGTTGCTTATTGCACTGTTGGCACAATCTCCACCTGGGGCTCCTATACTCACATCCAGGATTTGGGGATGAGTCAGACATACTGCATATGTACCTACAGATGATCTGAGCATACACAGAACATAATGGGAATTTCATGATGTCCCAACTTGCTTTTGCTTCCCTTTGTGCAACAAGATGTCTGTAAATCCTAGACAGAGTCCTCTTTTCTCTGAGACAAGGTTGCTGGGTGGAAAAACATGGCATGCCTACAGGGAACTGCATGTATGGGAACATCAGTTAGTGTGCTGGAATTGAATAGATTAATGATGCTAAATCTTATGATGTTACTGCTGGCCACGTGGCCTTGGTGGTGATCTTCTGAAATCTCTGAATTCTGGAGTCCTGTTATCACTCCAGAATATCTATTAAACGTTCAGCCTCCATATTTCTAAAATAAAGCTGGTTTCATGTGACTGCCCAGCATATCAAGCATGAAGACAAGTAAGAACACACCGAACCTGTATTTTGAAAACCAAAAGACTGTAAGCCAGTTGTGGCTTTGGGGGACCTGAAAATTTATTTCTGAACAGCTTGTGTTGGCAACATTCTAATTTTCCTTTAATACCTTTGTCTGTGCTTGTGCGGTTTGGCTTCCTACACCTTCTGTAATAAAACTATCAATGCTACTTTGTATATATTAAACTTTGTTTTATTTTTCCTTCTTGTTCCCAAGTCACTAACAGGAGAGATAATGTTATATGCAAGGCAATTATTCAGGCATTACAAGATTAAAACATGGAATATATTTCCCTGGGAAATAAAGTTTTCAGACGGTGTTTTCCACATATGGAAAAGGGATGAAAGCTTAAACACTGCCTGTTGTGGTTCCCAGCTTCTAGCAAAATAAAGGGTTTTTTTCTTTCTTGAAAACAGAGAGATTGTTAAAAACAAGGCTCCCAAACTGGAAAGACAAAAAAGGCACAGAGCTAATGTAACATGTTGAAGGGAGAATGTTTGTTAGCCCTCAGTGGTAGTGTCTCACTTCCATGAGGCTGTTTTACTGCAGGCAAAATACAACAACATAGCAATGAATAAAATATTAAATGCTGCCGAGACTTTTATAAGGACATTTTTATAGTTCTACCAGGTGCAGTGGCATTCTTTTAATTACCTGGACATGACAGAGTGCTGCAGAGCTGGAGTGTTGATTCTCTGGTATACATAAGGCAGTAAAGGTGACAGCCAGGGAAGGGAACTCAGCTGCAGGTGGAAGATTCTTGTTTGTGCACAGAAATGACCAGTGGTGTTTGTTCTGATCTGTCTTCAGTTATCACACTGCTAACAGGTAGAAATAATTTTAAAGGGTGTAAAACCTACTCATAAAAAAATGTCACTTGATTTAGCCAGCAGATGAATTCAAAGTACCGGTGTCTTCCCAAATGCTGGCACTCTCCAGTGTTTCTTGTTGTGTCTTACTCAATTTAATACACGTAACGCTGAAAGGAGCAACAAGCCCAGCCAGCTGCTAATGCTCACCCCTGTCTTCCTCCACCTTTGTCATTATGTGACACCTTGTGCTGGTGCAGCCCATGCACGTCTGATAATGGCTCTGCTTTGCTGAACAAGCAAAGCTCGTGCAGGATTGTTCTTTCTCATCCCATCATTCACAGGACCTGACCCATTAGAAATTTTACTCAAACATTTCCCAAGACTTTACCAGGAACTCATTCCTCAGGAGAAGAATCAGTCCTGACTCCACTGAAATAGTTGCTATGAGTGGTGCCAATGAGAAATCAAACATTTTTTTTGCAATTAATCAATTTTTTCACTGAGTATTAAGAGTGTAAATACTTGCCCCTATGCTAAACCTGGTCCCTGTATGCTGGTTTTAGGGAAATGCTTCCTTATCAGGAGACTGAGCCTGAGAATGCCTGAGCATCTGCCATGTCCTCAGCTCCCACTGACTCCAAGGACAACTGAACTCATCGCATTATTATCTGCCTTTTGCAGATCCTCTCCCTTCTTCAGGACCTGATATAACCCTATCTAATGAGTACTCTTTGACACTCGGAAACTCGCAACATGAGCTATCATAAAGCAGGGAAGTATTATCTAACACCACGGCAGAAAGCAATTATGCATCTTGCCCAAGATCATGAAGAAAATCTGTCGTAGCACTGGAAAAAAAAATCCTGGGGAAGTAGGAACTTTTTTGTGTAGATGTGGACTGAAACATAGGTCTTTACAATTTTCCCTGTTTTACTTATTGCTTTACTTTCTCTGATTTACTCCAGACTTTATATTGATTTTGAACTACACTGGGATGTTTTGTTAGTAGATAACCTTCTGGTTTATGGTTTGTATTTCTCCCAATTCCTCTCTTCCAAGAGCAAGGGCTCTGGCAGACCAGCTCCAGCACATTTAGCAGCAGTGTTGTAAATGATCAGTATTTTCTGCTGGATGTTACTGGCACTTGCGTAAAAGTAGCACAAAAGGTTGTGTGTCTGTACCACAGTTCATAATCAAGCATTTCAGAACCAACGCATCTCCACCACTGCTTGAAGCTGTGAGCTGGGCCAGAATTACAAGCTAGGTTACCATCTCTTTCTCCCATCCCCACCATGAAGGTGGAAGCGTCTCATGGAGAAGAAAGAGGCAGACAGAGGGGGGTGATGAAACCTTTTCCTTCTGTGGCTAAGCCCACCAGCGCTCGTCTGCCAGAGCCGTGACACAAGGCTGTGATTGCTGCTGTGTAGGTAGACACACTGAGCAAGGTCTTCATGAGCTGGCTTGGTTACCAGTAGTATTCTAGTTGTTAAAACCAGACTTTGGCCCAGGCTTGTGGCTCTAATATTTACTGAGTCATTCTGACTGGGTTTGCAGTCCGCATGGCTCAGCAATGGCTGTGCTGGTAGCAGTGCCTGAGCTTCGTTTTAAGGTGGTTTGAGTACATCCGTAATACATAACAGCCGAATCAATGCCTGTCATGTAGACATAAGTTAATCTTGACATATTCAACTATAAAATTAGGTATGTCAGCAAATTAACAACAGTATATTAAGCACTATGCCTGGTGTGGGGTGTGTAAATATAATTTTGTATCAGTAAGGACAAGAAATTAGGTAAAATGAATATTCCCAAACAAATTCTAGAGAATGCTACATAAAAGAGCAAAGCACAGTGTAAAGTAGATTTTATAAGGCAGTATTTGGGAAGAATTTGGATTACTTACACCCCCCAACTTTCTTATGACTGAAGCGCACAGGAACGCATCATGTCTTCACACGTGGGACACTGTATCCTAGGAGGTGTGACTTTCAGAAATACTGGGATTTTGCTAAGGAAAAAAAAACCAAAATCAACTGCAGTCTGGAGCTCCGTGCTGTGGTGTGTTGCTGTCTTTCTGCGTAACTTGTTTAGTGTGGGAACTCTTATAATTAGCAATTTCCCAAAGGAAGGAAAATTTTGCAAGCGTGTAAGAAGCCAAATGGCCATTACTGTGAAAATAAAAGACTGTATCGTGCATTCATTTTGAAGATTGAAGACGGAGGGGGCATAA